CCGCAGGGCAAGAGAAGCCACCAACCAAGGCATCTAATACGTGGCATGGAGTTTTTGCCCGGTTTTGTTGTGCTTTTGAGCTTGTGCTTATGCTTTCGGTGTCCTTGCGGGCAGCTTTATGCCAAACTTTATGCTTCCAGCCATGTATCCCGAACTCCCCTACCAGTTTTAGTAACCCAGCATGAGTCCGATTCCCAAAAGGAAGTTCCTGGATTGGAGGTTCTGGTTTTCATGCTCGGTCTTCACGGAGGCCATGGGGACGGGCCAGGTTTGAGATTTACAAGGACGGATCCAAGCAGCGAAAGGGGAGGAAGTCAGCAGGGAATTGTTTGAAGGGGTTTCGGAATGAAACGGAAGGGATCAGCCTAAACAGGAGCTTACTTCTGTGGTTCATTCTAACTCCTTTTCCTACTGGAGCAAGCAAGCAAGCAAGCAAGCAAGTTTCCCAGCCATGACCAGGTGGAGAGGAGGAAGAGGAGGAGCACCACCTGACCCAGGCTGACAGCGAGGCTGGAGATTGTGAAGGTTGATCGAACACAATCTCAATTTGGTCCATTGGAGTGGCTGCCTTTTGAGGTCTCCGGGTTCCCTTTGAAGCCACCAGGTAGATGGTAATTTTGAGGATTGCTTTCGGGCTCAAGCCACGGCTGATGCCATCCTTGAAGGTGTTTCCACAGGTGAACGACAGGCCATTCGTTTCACCCAGGACCCATCCCTCTGTAGAGAAACCATGAATATCCGCCCAAGGTTGTGCAAGGTTCCGAAGAGGAAGAATCCGTGAATGGAAGAAGGCCCAGCCGACAAACACAACGATCACACATTATGCTCCCTGGCTCCTCAAGGAAGACAGCGGGCCAAAGATTTGGGGCCCGAGTGACAACCTGGGTCCTCGCTTTGCACATTCATGCAGAGCGAGTGCCCTTTTGGTTTTTCTCAGCAGGTAAACTTTGAGAGGAGAGCGGACTTTTCAGGAAAAAGCCAGGTCAGAGAGAGGAAAACGTGGGTGTTGTGCCCACCTGACAGGAGTCTTTCTGTTTGTTGGCCGGTGTCACTCTCTGACATTTGCCCCGTTTTCCGAAGTGAGCAAGCTGGACCGCAGCCACTTGGGTGGCGAGCCAGTTTTGCGGAGTACTCACTCCATTCTACGCCCGTCGCATTTCACCTTATGGGATGGAGACTCGGCTTTTCCGAATCCGTGGGAGTCGCTGGGTTGCAATGAAGGGTGTAAGAGGAGTATCTCATGCTTTGGTTGAATCAACGGCCAAATGTACGAGCCCATACTTGCCGAAGGGGCGCAAAATGACCACGTGTTCGTACACGGCTTCATGCCCGAGACGGAACAAATCAGCACTGTGTAAGCAAGCGAGGCTCACCATGCATAGCCGTCCATGCTCAATTTGGGAGGGGCTGATTGTACTGAATACCCCCTGAGAACACATGAGCAAAATGGGACACCCTTGTGGCTCGTTTGTCTTTCCACTTTCCCCCAGTTCTGTCCTTGTTTTTGGTGAAGGGCTTCCCTTAACCCTGCGTCAGCTTCCCCTAATTTGTGGTTTGGTTTGGTGGTTTGGACATTGGGAGCTACCTTCCCCATTCGGTTTCAAAAGGAACTGGGGTTCAAATCCCAAACCACAAATCCAAACCACCAATTAAGGGGACGCTGAATAAGAGCAGGAGCCCCCTTGAACACCTCCGCCGCAGAGGGCGGCACGACGCGGCACGACGCACGCGGCGCCGTCAGGTGGCCTACATGCTCTTGGGCGCGGTCATCCTGGTGGTGTCGCTCTTTTACTTGGTCCCTCGGCGGATTGGGGTCAGCGGTCAGGGCTGTCCGAGGGCCCCAGTTATGATAGGCAGCTAGCCTTTTTTTTATAAAGTTATTATATAAGGGGTGGTGTTTCTTGGTTAATGGCTGGGGACATGGAATGACTGGGCATTGCAAGGATGCGGCCCGCTCACAAGCAATCAAACGACCGAGCCTGCTTACCTTGTTCGTGTGTTGCTTTGGTTTTCCTGTACTTTCCATTTCAATCAACACGCAAGTTTACTTTTTTGGGTATCTTTGCTGCTGGTTGCTTGTGGGTCAAGAAGGATCCATGCTCTCCCATTTGAGTGTTCTTTAGTTTCACTTTCCGGCTTCAAGTAGGAATGCTCACAATGCTGAATGTGTAGTTCCCTTTGGTTTGCCTTGAGCACCACACCCCCAGGTGTGCCAAACTTGTCAATGGCAAAAGCATACATCACCCATGCAAGGCTGCGAGGCTCGTTGGGGCCCCGCAAAACTGCTCTGAGACTTATGTTCCAAAATCCAAGTAGCCAGGCCCGAAGGCAATGGGAACACAAGATGAATGAACCCATGTTGGACTAGGGGCCACTTCAGAGGGGACTCGGATCGGTTCGGACTAGGGGGGAACAAACCCGATATTCTGACAGGCTGATCAATCCAAGGTCAGCATTCGTGCTTGTAATGTTGGGCCACATGGATTATACGCAAGAATATAATTATATACATATATATATATATGCAGATACATGTCATTACATGCGTACCAGTGTACCTGTATCCCCCGCCCATATGTAGGACTGACTGCCTGATAGGCCGCAGTCTTCAAGCCCGCGACCTTCTTGCGCGGTCAAATTGGAAAGCGAAGCAACTTGGGCTTGCCACAGGTCAACTGGAACGACGATGACATCCGCTATTATGCCATGAACATCATTAGCAGCTCGGCCACAAGATTTGGGCATTTCAAAAACGGAGGGGGCGGGGCTCTGATTCGATTTGTGTTCCAAATGAGCAGCCAACCCACTCTGAAGAGGCTTGTGTCTTTTTTCTTGAACCTGGCGCTGCAAATGGCTTGGTGGTCGGTTTCAGTCTGGGCAGTCAGATGCATGCAGCTTTGGCTGACGGTGTCCACCAGTCGAGTCGCCCCACCGGCTCTCCGACTCGCAAACAGGACTCTTTCCTGAAATCGCTTCCCGCAGGGCCAGCGATTTCCTCAGTGGGGTCTTGTTGAAGAGACCATTCCATTGCAAGCTGCGACATTTGACCAAAAAACACGACTTGCTGAAATCATTTTTTTAACATTGGCGACCAGCAGGAACATCGGCAACGTAGAGGGCGCCAATTCATAGTTCCCCTGCCTATGTTTGGCAGCCCAAAGTTCGAGGAGGGCCCTCTATCATTTTGTGTCACAGGTGGTTAGCTCATCTTTTTTATGTTTTCGCCGCTGCCGGACTGGACGGCAGGCATGACCATGTCCATCTTCTCAGCTGTGCCGGCCCTGGCCAGACGGAATCGGGAGGGGCGGAATCGGAAGGGGCGGGAGGGGGGAAAACAGGGTTCCAGCGATGTTGGTTTGGCTCCTAAGATGGAAGATGAGAGGTTCCCTGTTGGCCCCTTGAAGTTTCCTGCAGCCGGCAGTGAAGTTTATGCCCTTCCCTTCCAAAGCGATTCGCAGAGGCTCGATCTTGCCGTGTAAGGGCTATAAGTATGCTGGTGGCCCTATCGGTAAAGGCTTGCCAGCCCCAGCTCTTTGGCCCAGCTTGTGACATGAGGCTACTCCACTTGGGGCGTGGACATCGGTTCTTGCAAGGTCGATGGGTTGAGCGGATCAGAATGGGGGAATGCAGCCTGGAGGTCCGCCTGATCTTGTCAGACCCATTTGTTCAGCTCAATGTCTGAAGTAAGAACAGGGCTCCTTAAAGATACATTTTGTCCATTTGAAACATGGTTTTTTCCACCAAAACAAAGGGCCACCACCATTTACAAGTTGCAATGTTCAGGCGTATAATGCATCCGGATCCCTGTGAGAAGGGAGGGGGGTACTGAGATTCACAACGCCCTGAGCAAGAAAACAACCCTTCCAGGATGGGCACTGGTTCCTTGAGCCTCCAACCGTTTTTGGAACCCCGAATTTCGAGGCTGTGGATGTGGTGCGCTGCCCCTCCCACTCCCCCGCCTCAGCCTCGAGTTCTAGGTGCTGATGTACCAGGGCATCAACGACCAAATTGGGCGATTCAGCGCCAATTTGACCCTCTACCACAGGCTGGCCGCGTGTTTTTCCCCTTTCCCCGCCCGCTTCATGAAGTGCTGGTGTCACACGGGGGTCCTCAAAAGCAGAGCGGCCAGCCTGAAACTTCCGCTCATGACTACTTCTTGGTTTTGGTGTCTGTTTTGGCGTCGATCTAAGAGCTTATGGGTTCGCCGGGCCAGGATTCTCATCCAATTCGCCCAGTGCTGCTTCTACGTCCTTGCCGCTTGCTTTAGGCACCGGTCAGCCCAAAAGGGCTTGGAGTCTGGCAGAGCAAGGCGGATCGGTTGGTTCCGCGGGCTCACTTGTCGGAAGTCGTTTGCAAGCCCGCTTAAAGGTTGTCGTATCTAAAAAACGAAATTCCCCCCCCCCCCCAAGTGAACATGTTCAGGGGTCAAACTTGGGTGATTTCCCGCTAAACTGTCATCCAAAGGGTCACTTTCGAACAAGGCCCAACTCTTTTGCAACAATTTGGCGGGAACATGAAGTCACTGACTTGCCAGTGACTGGCATTAAGCATGTTTGCCACAGTCTCGAATAGGCTTCCCTTCAACTGGCTCCGATTTTTTGTGAGGTGGTTGGTGGACATGAATCTCCACCGAATGTCGATGTCCACCAAAGGGTGCCCTGTTAAGAATCACGGTTGCTTAAGCCGTGCGTGACTCAGGTCATGCAGGTGTTGATCGGATCCATCTCCGGCATCTTCTTCGTGGAGCTGCGGCTCGCCGGCATTTGGGACGAAGCGCTTCGTACTCGCCGCTGCGACATTTTTCGCACAGGCGACACGCACGAAGCGCCTTCATGCAGTCCCCATTGGACTCGCACCACCCTTAAAAGGAGGCTCTTGTCCCAAAAGGTCGGAGCTCCTTTGCTTGGAAGTTTCTCCGCAGGCATCTTCTTGGGGGTTGGGGGGGTCGAAGGAAGCCTAAGTGGCCCTGACCGGTACGTACTTCTACATGTTTTTTGGGTGCGCGATACCTCAGACAAGTGTCAAGTGCGATGGCCCAGTATTTTTTCTTTTCGGGGGGAGGGCCTCTAGGGGGCTGTAAATCTGGAAGAATGGGTCATCCGATGGAAAGAGGGCAGTTTCCTTTCCTCATGGTGTCTTGCGAGCCCCTGCACCAGGGCGCATCTCAACCCCCCCCCGGAGAAGAAGGAAGGGTTTCTTTTGGTTTCCGATTGAAGCCAATCAAGAGGGGTCCCGCCTCAAGAAAAGAACGCCCATTTTCTGAGAATCTTCAGTTTAAGCCGTGAAGTTCCATGTTCCCGCCGCGGCGCGTTTGGATTTGCAGAGTTGCAGCCCCACTTCCTGCTGCCAGATACCCAATCCAAACCGAGAATGGGGCAAGTTGGGTGGAACAAGCACATGAACCGGATCTGGAGTGCTTGGTTTAGGCAGTTGGGCACCTGTTCTGCAGGATGTGGGGTTTCAACTTGTGGCTTTTCCAAGCACTAAAAACGGGCCACCCCCACCCACCCACCCTGAAACCACCATAACCCCGCAAAAAGAAGAAGAAGAAGAAGAACAACAACTACCCCCCCCCCCGCCCAAACCCCCAAACCCTAAACTACCCCCCCCCCCCAAACCCCCAAACCCCCAAAACAAAAGACAGCCCCGTGTGTTTGCTGTTTGCCTTGGCGCCTGCCACCGAGGATGTGGGGCTCGAAGGAGCCCGACTTCGACCGAGAGGACTGGCTCATCGCCGACGGGCTCAGGCGCCTGCAAGGGACACGGGCCGCAGGCCTTGAAAGGGACACAACGACCTGAAGCGACTTGTTTTTGGAAGGGGGGGTGGGGGGGGGGGGGGGAAGGATTTATTTTTGGATTCTGAAGGGGGGTGGGGGGGGAGGAGGGTTACTGTGTTTTGTTCCGGGGGGTCATTTTGTTTTTTGCTTTATTCACGTTGACCCCGACCTCACAGTAGTCAACCCCAGTTGTAGTAGGGGGGTGTTTCCCTCCAAAAGTGGGGAAAGGCACCCCTCCTATTCACAAAACTGCGGTTGATTCAACATGACCTGAGTTGAACTCCCCAGTTTTGAGTCCGCCCTCAGCGACCAGGGCGGACTACTGCAATGCCCTGACCGACGAAGAGGCCGGTGTTTTGGCCCGGAGAATTCTCCGGGGTCAGTCGGTTTTTCGGGTCATCAAAGCTGTGGGGGGGGGGGGGGTTATATTTGTTGGTTTTCCGGGCTATCAAAGTCAGCAACTCTGGGGGGAAGGGGGCGTTTGTGTAACCTATCACTGCAAAATCATGGGTATACCGAGAACTTGTCCAAGGCAAGAAGCAAACCACGCCCAAGTTGTCAAAGGCCGCTTCACAAGGCAAGAGCCATTGTTTGTGGCCTGGGAGTCAGCGGGTGGGGTATGCCAGCCTCTGTCTAACAAGGACAAGAGTTTATTTCGCCTGCAAACCCCCCAGTACGCAACGGTGCCTGAAGCTCCCCAGGTGAAGCACATCCGAAACCCGGCAGCCATGAAGAGCGTGCCTTGGCTTTGATTCATGCACCACTTGGAGAAATTGAGGAGACAGGAGACCGCTTCTAGCATTCCAACAGGGGTCCCCACAATTCATTTGTTGGTTGTTTTTAGTATCACCTTTTGGCCGTTCGAGGTGAACACTCGTTTCCCTTGGGGTGATGTTTCAAGGCGCTCCTTCCAAGCTTCTCTTGCAGCTTTCTGTGGCAGTCAAATGCAGCAAAGTACAAAGATATGTGCATATAAACATATATAGATATATATATATATATATCCATTTGTAGGTATTTCCCCCCCCCACAATGCTGAGGCAAAAAAGGGGGCATGGTTCGCCAGGAAAAAGGTACACCAGGCCTGAGTTGAAGGTTTTGCGTGTCAGGTCTGGATCGACACGTATGGCGTGGAGGTCCCCGTGTCTTGGCGATTTTCAATTCGGATGGCTTTGGCAACTCGGTGGTCGGCGCAGAGTTCCAATGTTTGAATCTAGGGCTGTGGGGGGTGCGCGCAAAAGGACTCAAGCTCAGGGTCACGCCCCCACAAAAGGGCCAGGGATCGCCGCTTGAGGTCCTTTTGCGGCCAAACCTGGCGCTTTGTAATCCAGCACAGCTTGATCACCCTAAAGCACGTGCGCAGGTGAAACCATTCTCAGCTCGGAGTGATCTTCCAAAGCGTTGCGCCATGCTGTGGGGGAGAAGGTTGGTCAAGGCGGCGTTTCATGCGCGAAAAGCCTTTGGCAGTTGCCACTCCAACCCTAGCCTCAGAATGTTGGGAATGCGCACTGAAAGGCACGCCGCACTGGTTTTCCCCTTCAAAGGATGCAAATCGACTGATGGTTTCCGTAGAAACGATCGCCACTTTCGGAGGCTCCGAAAAGGGAAATGGCAAGGAATGCCTGAAGGGGCTCCCAAGAGAGTTAGATCTCGCCTGGCTAAGGTTTCAAAGACCAAGGACGACCTGCAGCTTGCGAAGAGACGCATGAGGCAGGCCAAGGTGTCCCATGACTTTTGGGATGGCTTGTCCAAGTAGTACTAGCAGGAGGAGGAGGAGTAGTAGTAGGAGGAGGAGGAGTAGTAGTAGTAGGAGGAGGAGTATGAGTAGGAGTAGGAGTAGGAGTAGGAGGAGTAGGAGTAGGAGTAGGAGTAGGAGTAGGAGTGTAGGAGTAGGAGTAGGAGTCGGAGTTGGAGGAGTAGGAGTAGGAGTGTAGGAGGAGTAGTAGGAGTAGGAGGAGGAGTAGTATGAGTAGGAGTAGCAGTAGGAGTAGGAGGAGTAGGAGTAGGAGTAGGAGTAGGAGTGTAGGAGTAGGAGTAGGAGTAGGAGTAGGAGTAGGAGTAGGAGTAGGAGTAGGAGTAGTAGTAGTAGTAGTAGTAGTAGTAGTAGCAGCAGCGGTGGTGATGGTGGTGGTGGTGGTGGTGGTGCTGTAGACTGCGATTGGAGCTTTTTTGAAAGCCGCGCTGAAAGTCGCGGCGGGCAGTTTCCAACGTCGGAGGTAGCGGTAGCTGCAGTAGTCGTGGTTTTGGTGGCTTCCAGACCAGAATCTTCGCAAACGAAGTTCGTCCCCTCGAGTTGTATTCCGAAAGCATGGTTTGGGGGTTCATGGACCTGTGCATCGCCCTTTTGAAACAACTCTAAGATGGTTCCCGCTACCCCCAACCCACTGCCCTGGGAAAACGGTGCATGTACCCTTTACGTGAAAAGTAGAAACCACATTTTGAGCCACGAAAGCCAACATGAGGCCAGCCACTGACAGGTTTCCTGGCCTTGGCGCCAGAGTTCTAGGGGTAGCTTCCCCATTCTTTTCAAGGATCCTTCTAGAAAACCAACAAAAAACCAGGGGAAATGGTTGGTTTTTGAAAAGAACGATGGCTGAAAGAATGGGGAATCAACCCCTAGAAGAGTGTTATCAGGAACTAGGCCAAGTGGTATAAGTGGCTAAACAATGACAACTACACCAATTCCCTTTTTGGCCTTGCAGCCCCCCAACACCATTCCATTTGCTAGAGCCCCTTTGCCGATTCATGGAGTCCAAGCCCAAACCTTTTTTTTTGGGGGGGGAGGGGGCTCAAGAGATCCCATCTAACTTGTGGTTCCCAGCCATCCCTGTTCGGTTTTTCGGTTTGTAGTTGGTTTAGTGGTGGTTTCTATTTAACCCCGGAACAGTCAAACTTTTAGCAGGGAATATGAAGACAGCCCAAGATGATCTTTCAAGCAGGAAGCCACAAGTCAGAATGAGTCCTGACAAGGCCTAGCCACTCAAACCGTGAACCGTAAGCCTAAGCGTAGGCCTTTAAACTGGTGATTCAGGTTGACCAATTTCAGACTACCTGGTTGGAATGTGACGTACCGTTTCCTCTTGGATGTATGCCAAGATTTGCCCCCAGCAGAATTCACACAGCCCGGTACGCTTTCTGGGCGCTAGCAGGCAACATTCAAATTGCGCGAACTGTGCGCCATAAACGCCCGACCAGATGCACACAGCAATGCAAGCACAGCTGGGCCCAGGGAACTGGGAGTTGGGAAGCTTTTGAATCAACCACACAAGGCCCTTCGAGCATGAGGCTTCCCCTCACCGTTGCCAGAATGTCAAGTTTTTTTAAATAGGTTTTTGGATGTTCTGTTCCTTTTTAAGGGGGGGCGTGCGAAAAGCAAGAGTCAGCTTTCCTGTTTTTTTTTTTGTTTTTTTTTTTTTTTTTTGGGGGGGGGGCAAGCCCATACCAAGGGGGCTGCAATAAAACTGAGCTGTTTTTGTTGCTCCCATAGCACGGGTTCTACAACAAAGGTCCCTGGGTCCATGGACAGCCGTCCCAAACACCCCCGCCGAAGACGCCGGTTCTGGCGGATCGATCGCCAGGTGCTGGGCGATGCTCTTGGCCCACATGTCCGGATTCGCCGCCATCAACTCCGGGGCCCAGCTGCAGGAGCTCGAGGCAGAGAGACCTGGCGCGTGTCTCGCGGGATTCGATGCCCCTGCGCTCCCCACGGCACAGGTCACGAAAGGTGGCCTTTGGGTGGCGATTCTGAGGACTTCCTTGCGTTTTCAAGGTCCCTGTCACTGTGGGGGGCTCAAATGTTAGATATATCTAACCCCCCCCCCCCCCCCTTCGGATTCGGGGGGTAAAACGAGTCGGGACCGTCTTCCTTTTAAAGGGACCGGGACCCCCGAACCTCAGGTCCCATGTTTGTTGGTGGGCAAATGCCAAGGAACCCTTAAAGACTTATGGTTTTCGGTCCTGCGGTTGAAGACGTTTTGTGGTGCGGAGCGGGGATTTTGCGAACGGGTCCGCAGCGTTGCGAGGAAGGGAGGGAGGGGCATCTCCGAACTTGCGGCAATTGACCGTCATTTTCTTGGCGGTTCCCAGCGGTTCATTCGGTTCCTTAGGTTTTTAGTCTCTTAGTTGGTTTAGTGGGGGTGTCCATTTAACCCCCTAAAAGTTAAACCTTTAGCTGGAAATTTGAGGACAGCAGTTGAGTGCGGTTGTTGGCACCAAAGGGGCAAGACTGAGTAGAGGACCGGTTCCAGATTTTGAGCATCTCAAGGCAGGAATGCGGGAGTTCCACCCAGCTGGGTGTTTTTCTGCTTTAGTTCGAAGAAACTGGCTGGACAGGGCCTCCCCAAAGGCGCTTTCTGGTGGGAGACCATCTCAGACCGAAGCCAAGACCCAAGTCCTGAAGGTCTCGGAAGGATGTGGCGTGGGTTCAGCCAGTGACCGACTAGCAAGGCCCGTCCTTCCCAAAATCCGCGCCAGGTCTTCCGCACAAACGCATTCATGGCCATTACGCCGGCTGCGGGCCCAGCTGGTGGTGTTTGTTTCCGCTCAAGCAAACATGTGTAGATGTTGGCGTAACAACAAAGGGAGGGTTTGATAGGTCAATGCACATTTAAAGGGAAAACACATCGCCACTCAAATGGAACCCGGAGCATACATGGCCTTTTGTAGGTCAGCTTGGTTGAGAATCCGATTTGCTGCAGGTTGCTTCTAGTCATGCCATCTGTTTTACCAACTGGACCCTAGGATTCGGAGGTTTCTAAAGAATGGCCTTGCAGTCATGAGTCGTTTGCCCCCAGTTTCGATGTTGCTGGGGCGGCTGCTTTCGAGCCGCTTGGGAGAGAAGACCCCAAGACCACCCAAGGGGTGCCGCCTGGAGTGGGTCTCCCTGCAAAAAGCGCCCAGGAACGTTCCAGAGTGCCAAGATTTATTTTCAAGCAGGTGATTGATATTCGGCGCTCAGGGTTGCGAAGTGCTTCATGTGCTTCAGCTTTTGATCGCTTACCCAGCATCCTGCAGGAACTCGCGGGTTTGAGTTAAATTGTTTGAACTTGGTTCAGAGCCGCCAGCCGCTTGTCAAGGAATCAAAGGGCACCAAAACCCTTCTCAGTTCCCTTTCAAGAGTGCTCCAGCTTTGCTTGTCTTTGACAAAGCATATGGGTGTTTTTAAGGGTACTCTCAATGGATTGGCAGGGGCTAACGAAGTCCCCAATCCAGAAAACGAAGAAGAGGTGCAGGAGGTAGACCCTTTTCCTGCTCAGCGTAGCCATCGGTCGGTGCCGTCAAACGGCAGATACCCACCCTATGTGGGATGAGAGGGGATTCGGGCCATCACGGCCACACATGATATGGATGTACAGGTTTCACATGCCATGAAATGCCGGTTGCGTGGCACGCAACTCACACGGGGAAGAAAGCCTTCACTCAGCCGGTCGGCTGAGGCACACAGGTCCTGCACGCACGGCGGACCTCTACATTCACACCACGGAGGTGTCGGCACTCACGGTTCACATGCCAAACACTGCCGTAGCGGGAGAGCACAATGGGGCCTGTGGGCTGCACTTCGCGTTGTTGTAGCTCACGGAGTAGCGTCTGCATCCGAAAGTTCTGACCCATGAGGTGCTCGTTGCTGCTGTTGGCTTCTTCCAAGTTCATTTCCAGGGTGGTGATCACGGGATCCATGGGCATGGGATCGGTTTGCACGACCGCATCGGTCACGGCCGTATGGTTTCGGCCGGAGCAAGAACAGCTCAGTGCATTCCGAACCACACACCATCCGAACATCAGGAGGAGGGTGATCACGGCATAGTCCATGACCTCAGCGTAGGGCTCGACAAACGTGCCCTCGGGTTCCACAAGCGTGTTCTTCTGGTTGTCCACGTAGGTGGCTTGGCAGAAAGAGACCATAACATCGCCCTGCGCGAGTGGTTTGGGAATAGCTCCCTCCTGCATGTTTTGTTGACGTTCGGCCTTGCTCTTGCGCTTGGCAGCGGTGAAGCTGGGGTCCCACGAAAGCTTCAGCTGGTGTGATCTCAAACGGTCTGCAAGAAGTTGCCGGGTGGACAGTTTGGTCTGGCCGTCGGCATACTGCAACTCACTGCTCATCCACCTGAGGTGTCCGCCGAACGATTGCAGCCTTTCCTTCATGACCATGATCTCCAAACCTGTGCGGCGATCTGTGTTGCCGCCCAACTGCTCGCGCTGGTAGCTGTCATATAGGGCCTTGGCGTCGGTGATCAGAGTTGGTTTGAGCATGCTGCGAACTTCCAAGAGGTCACGGAGCTTCACGTTGGGGTTGAAAATGTGCTCCCAGGCGCGAACAACCATTTCCATGCTGTCCACGGCTTGACCAGCCGCCTGAGCTTCCGCAGCCAGACTGCTGCGACACACACGAGGTAGCTTGTACGAGCGCCAGTCCAAAACCATGTAGGGGAGCTCGTTGCCGTCAAAGCAGGCGGCGTTGACCAGCAGGGTGATGTAGCCACCTTGGGAGCTACCATCGGATCGGGAAGCGAATCCCGCGTCTGTCATAGTGACCAGGCGCAGGTCTGCCCGATTGCCAATGTGCCGGTACTGCAACGTGACATCAGAGTTGTCCTTGGCAAACTTCAACACGCGGTTTGCCTCGTTGATTGTCATGTTGGTGCCAGTTCCGACCTCGCCGGAGAGAATCGAGGCCGAGCATTGTATATGCGGGCTGGACTGAACAGCCGGCCACTGTAGCGCACCAACCAATCCACGGAGTTGAGAGACTCCGGACGGGTCCAACTTCTGAATGGAGTTGCTGGCCTTGTTCTGGGTGATCGGCTTGATACGATGGAGGTAGTCGTGGTGCCCGAGGTGCCAGACGTCGTTGACCTGCTTGAGCTCAGCACCACAGTACTGGAGTGTGGACTTGTCACTGTTGAACTCCCGGAAGTTGAAGATCTCCTTGAGCTTGACCTCGGCGGCCTGGTAGGTCTCCGATTGTGGGTCTCCGGAGCCAAGTAGATCATCTACATGAAGGCAGACAATGCCACACGGCTCAAGGATGCCAGTGTTGTTTTCGACGTTGCCGTTCTCGGTATCCTTGTTGTAGGTCTGATCCGACAGGTTGGGGTAGAGCATAAAGAGGCAAGGATCTAGTACATGTTGTCGCCACCCTGCATGACGGAGACGTCGGGTGGCTTCCAGGAACCATCTCCTCGGCGCATCAATCTGACCATAGCACGGCTTCATCAGGAGCATCCTGGTGTCCATATCAGCGCCCAGCAATGCCAGGGCGTCGGCAGGCAGCTTCAGCCAGAGTTTCCGGTCCTGTGGCAGACCTTGCAAGAATGCAGTTGCTACATCAGCTGTCCACAGGGGCCACCGATACGTGGCTGCAAGAGCCAACAAAATGGTGCGACTGAGGCGACTTGTAGTAGGGCTCGAGGACTCGACCTTGCCTTGCAGGGCATCGGGGTCGGCATAGCCACGAACGATCAGGCGGGCCTTGGCTCGTCTGCTGCCGTCGGCATTCTTGCTCCACTTGAGGAGGATCCGGGCGGTAAGAGTGCGTGCAGGATCGGCCGACTTCACATTGTCGAACTGCCACACATTGTTTTCGAAGAAGGACGAAAGCTCCTTCCGTTTGGCTTCCAGGAACTGCATGCGATCCTCAAGGGTCATGTAGCGCTCCGACAGGTTGTTCTTGTCCTTGGCGCCCCGGCGGACTTGTCGATCAGCTGCAGCGACATAGGCTTTGGCAACTCGACGACCATCGGTTGCAAGGTGTACACGAAGTGGTTCGACCTTCTTCTTGATGTCCCGGACCTTGGCCTTGTCAAAGGTGAAAATGGTGAAGCCGTCCCAGTTCTTGGGAACCTGGGAGTTGGTCCAGAAGTCACTGCCACCATCACGCCAATCATCGGTCTCACGACGGAGACGACCATCAGGTAGACGCCATAGTGTGATTCGCTGACCACGGAGGTCCTTGGGGTCGAAGGGGCAGTCGGTAGCGTCGTGTGGAGTGAACTTGCGAAGTCGTCCACGGACATGATGTCGAATCACACAACCGTCTTTCATCGACCAGTAGTCGTCTGTGTGTCCGGTGAACTGCAGGTAGCCTTCGCCGTCTTGAGTCCATCCAGGTGGTAGAGCACTGAGGTCAAACTCATCAACCGGGAACACAGCATCGGCCAAATCATGGTCGTCAGTTGAAGGTGCTGAGACTTTTGTAGGTCGTGGTGGTGGAGATCGCGATCTCTGTCGACTTGACGATGAGGGTTGTTGAAACAGTGGAGCTTCTTGACGATCTACACGGAGGCGTTGCTGCTCAAAGGTCTCACCTTGCACCGGTCGATACTCAGAGGGAAGTTGAGGTTCAGGTTCGATGACCGGCTCAGTGACAGAGGTTGTGCGAGACACATCCTCTTCCAGGATTCGCCTAAGGTCTTCGTCCAAGAGCTCCTCCGGTACTGGTGGAAGGACTTGGGGATCAGGTGGTGATGGTGCTTGAGGTTCAAGTGGTGGTGGTGCTTGAGGTTCTAAAGACTCTTGGCTTGGTGACGCCGCTGGCGCATCTAATGGAGACTCACGTGCTGGAGCTCCAGGCTCGACAAGGCGTCGGCGTTGCTGAGGGGGCTCTGACACTTCCTCTCCAGACATGTCGAGAGACTGGTCATTGAGATCATCCATAGCCTCCTCGTCGGAGCCGACTTCTTCGATTCGACGTCCTTGGTTGAGTTGCTGCAAATCCCAGAATCGGGTCACTCCCCGGCCACGGAGATTGCGTAGTGCATCAAGAGCATGGTTCATGCCGGAGAGCTGATCCAGGTCACCAAGCACGGGCTTGACATGATGAGGGGCAGCACGAAGCAAGTTGGTGCCATGAACCAACCAGTAGACGGTAGGTTTGCCTTGCTGATCGTCTTCTCGCATAGCCACAACCGCAGGCCCGCGCCATCTGATCTTGACAAGATCGGAGGCCCGAGCATCACGCCAGTAGTAGCAGCTCTGTCCGACTTCCAGGGTCTTGTTGTGGCCAGAATAGCGACGCAGAAGGGCTCGACGCAGCTTGGTGTCGGTGTCGGCACGGATCAGGGCATACTTCGCGGCAGCCCGCTGGGCGAGAACATCCTCGAAGTCACCAGGTTGAAGGTGTCCGGGATTAAGGCCGTCCTCAGTGAGCTCGCCAGGCAGTTTGGGTTGCTTGCCGAGAACCCACTGGGCTGGCGAGTACCCGTGCACATTCGGAAGAGCATTGATCTGCGGGACCATATAGTCCAAGGCTTTACGAACCGCATCACGAGAGTGATCCTGATGATCCGCAAGATAGATCTCAACAGCACGGCGAAGCAGTTGATGTCGCCGCTCGACCACTCCAAGCCGCGTATGGGCCTCTCCGGGGGAGATGACCAGGCTGATACCATTGTCTCGGGCCCAGCTCGACATGGCGTCACTAGACCATGCACGATGTTCGTCGATCATGAGGACCTGCATCGGACCGAAGTGTCGGATCCAGCTCTTCTCCAGGGAGGAGATGAAGTCTGTGGTCTGCTCGTGCCGAATCAGGCGCGCGACCATGTAGCGTGTCGCAGTGCAGACCATGCTGATGATCGGGTACTTGTCATCCTTGTTGGGATCGGGCTTCAGCCACATGACATCGGCTTGTACCACGTCGTTGAAGTTGGTTGACTGTGAGAGCTGTGCAGGGGATGGTCGTGGTGGTCGTACATAGTGCGCACATGCTGGACATCGGTACTCATGTGCCACATCCAGGACAGTACCAGAGGCTCCACGCTGTCGAAGGACAGCAACCAGGGTGTCAGGTGCAGGATGCCCAAGATTTCGATGAAGGCGTTGAACTGTGCGCACTGCCTCCTCCTTGTGGTTGGTGAAGAGACGTTGTAGAACACCTCCAGGCTCTGCCACATCATCAGCGGCAAAGATCCATGACTGGGGCTGTGCCGGTTCCGGGACCATGAGGGCTGCTGACATATGACCGGCCATCTCGGGCTGGTAGTCTTCCATGAAGGCGGTGCGGGAGATGCCGTAGTCTTTGAGATAGCCCTCCAGCCTGCAGTGCATGTGGTCTCCTGAACACCGGTGACACATTGCGGTTGCCATAGCCATCTTGGTGGTGAGCAAGGCCGTAGGCTTCTTGACCAGGAGCCATTCGCCATCAGCATCCGGACAGATGCTGTTGTAAGCACATTGATCGAAGGTGCACCACAGACCAGGAAGAGACCGTAGGGCTCGAGTCTTCCAGGACTTGGCGCTGAGAGGCTGCTCCACGTGTGCATGTCTTCCATCTCGAACTTGTGCCAGGTAGACCTTCTTGACAAAGAGCAAAAAGGTGTCGTGGTGCCATTGACGTAGAGCACGTAGTTTTTCACGCTGCTCAGGAGTTCGGGAGTTGATATTCTGCATGGGCGACCATGGTCCGCAAATGGGTGCCAGAAACACCTCGTCCGGCATCTCCTGATGGAGGTAATCCATGAAGGCGTCCTGGTGCGATTTGATGCGGAAGTCCCACCCGGTGTGGAGCCCGAAGACTTCTGTCTGACCGCCGGCAGCTTGTACACGGTGAGAGATGGCGGCCTTGCCGGCAAAGACTTCCCACACCAGACGTGGTCGGGGTCGTTCCATGGCAGCCAAGGCTTGATCGACTTTGATCTCAGTCTTGTCGATGTGCTGCTTCAGGTGAACCTGAAGAGTCCACAGCTGGTTGGGCTTCAGACGATGTGATGGTAAGTCTTGAGGAGGGAGCGAGACATCCGTGTCGTTAGCCACCATGTTCACGTCCAGGTTTTCAGCCGTAAGGAACTCCTTCAGGGAGACGCCGTACTCGAGGTCCGGCTCGTTGGTCAGCACGTACTCGAACGCTGGTTCAGGAAGGCCTGACCTGTAGTCGTCGTAGCTCTCGACGAGCGACAGCAGGTATTCACCTTGCCGGCCACACTCCAACGGTCGCCAGCCAGAGCCAGGAACCCGCATTGTTTTGCTGGCGAGATCCAAGGTCATGCCGAGGAGCTCCATGATGGGGCGTCCCATCAGCATCGGAGTGTGTCCAGGCAAGAGAAAGCATTCGGCCAACCCGTAGCGTCCTCCAACAAACATAGGAACTTTCACCACCCAGTCGCTCGTCCCGTAGTTGTCGCCACCGAAGCGAAACTCCTTGGTGCACCGGCTCAGATAGATGAGCTCCACGGGGTACCCAAGTTGACGTAGAACTTGAACGTAGGCGATGAAAGTGTGGTAGCCGGCCAGGAAAGATGAGGCACCAGGGTCAAGCATGACGGCATCTGGCCGATCCACTCCGTTGCTGTCCATGAGGATGCCGGCCATCAGAGCCGAGCCATCTTCCAGAGCCGGTCGCTTGTTCGGGCGAGATGACGGTGAGGTTGTAGGCGTAGTCGAGGAAGCCGGATTCCGTGGCATGGGGCAGTTGCTGGCCCAGTGTCCAGCCGCTCCACAACGAATGCAGTGAAGCGCACTCTTGGCCCGATTCTTGGCTTGCGAGGGCTTGCCGGAACCTTTTGACCAAGACTTGCCACCCTTGCCTTTTCCACGGCCGGGTCCTCCTTTCAGCGAAGGCGCCATAGAGCTTGATGATCCAGGACCACCATCCTGCAAGGCGACCACAGGGAGGAATCCACGAGACAGTCGGAGTTCTTGAAAACGCTTGCGAGCATCGACATAGGCAGAGTAGACCTCGTCGTACTCCTCCACGGGCCAGGGGTTGCTAGACTCATCGTCCTCACCGT